GTCTTATCTCACTTCATCTCACAAAATCTTCTGGGGTAGTAACAATAACGATCCCCATTTTGCAGATGAGAAAACCAGAGATTTGAAAGGTTAAACGCTTGCCCCAAGGCTGCACAGCTACAGAGTAAGGGTTAAACCCAGGGGGCAGTCCTGAAGACTCGCTCCCTTGACTCCTCTGCTGCCTTCTCTCCAGGCTTCTGCTGCCTGGGAGGGTTAGAGTGCTGAACTCACCTCATCTCACTGTGCTCAAGCCAGGACCAAACAGACTAAAAACACTAGAATAATGTGGCTCTCCTCTGCCTTGCATTTACTTTTATTGCATAAATATAATCACTTTGCAAGTGAACGATGTGTTAGCATGTTAGCTGTGTCGCTGAAGGTGACAGAAGGTGGGAAGAGAGGGGGATAATCTAAGTGCAGGAGAAGTGTTGTGGTTTTCTGCATCATCGGTTTACCTCACAAGGATTTAAACCAAACTATAAAAGAATATTGATTGAATAACTATTTTGTGTTGCATTATATGCTAGGTATTCCCATGTAAATTATTTTACTTACACTGACATTAAAAAAAAAATCTTCCAAAATTGGCCTCATTATCCTCATTGTTCAAAGAGAAAACCATGGTAACTCAGTCATCAGGAGAGGGAGCTAATACTCAAACCAAGCTAGATCTGACCCCAAATCTAAGGATTTTTTTTTTTCAGACAAAAACAAACATGTTAAAACCAAGGATCCTATGTTCTGACATGTTTTGTCAGAACAACAACAAAAAAAATTTGTCTCCAAAATTTTTGCCATGTGTGACCAATTAGCACAGTTGGCTAGAACATGGTGCTAATAAGGCCACGGTCAGGGGTTCAATTCCTTTATGGGCTGAAACTTGATGCTTCCTTCCCACAGACACAGACCATCTAGACCACATCTGGGCCCCTCCCAAGAGCATCATATTGGTCATAAATGCAGTTGAGAAAGTCTTGCTAAATCACAGTAACTCCATCTGCCCTATTGGAACAATTCAAACATATGCCATACTGATGGTGTGACTATAGACATAAATAAAAACCAATATTGTTATTAGTTAAATAAATTAGTAATTTTTGCTGACTCTGTAAATTTTAAATGTATTCTTTGTGGCCCAGTAGAGCCATGACTTTCTTTTTAAAAGTTCGTGCATGTAGAGATCCTAAGATTTCAATATGTTGAATGATATGTGCAATAATACCTCAATTACTGAAACTTATCAGGAAATGAGTTATTTTGTGTATGCAAGTTATGTTCGGATAATGGAAGTGTCTGCTTAGCACCAAGACATGTTCATATTAGAAATTCTGATGAAAATATTTGTAAACAAAATTCACATTTTTATGCCTCTCAAATGGGGGAGATGACACATGATTTACCTTAGGATATTTGTCATTTTGTTACTTACCAAAAAACACAATTTAAACAAACTGATTTTTTGAAAACATTGGGAAGGTATGGGCAAAGATACACAAAATGGGAAATCAATGTTAACATCAGACGAGACAGAATTTAGAGTTAAAGTAATAAAAGGATAAGGAGGAATATAATGTAACAGTAAAAAACATACTTTCCATAGAAGACATTATACTCATAAACCTATATGCACCAAACAATATAACACTTTCATTGAATTCCAACTATTTTGGCCTTTTTACATTCCTTAAATGAGCCAAAATAGTTCCAGACTCAGGCCTTTGTGGCTACAGTCTCCTCTGCCTGAGACGCACGTCCTCTAAGTTTGCTTTCTCATCTCATTTGGTTCTCTGCCTAAACATCTCTTCCCCACTCACCGTAATGAAGACTGAATATTCTATCTGATTTGTCACCTATGATCCTAAAACCTGGAGTTGTTCAATAACTGACTACATACAGGAGATCTTATTGATATGGGAAACATTAAAGATACCCAGGGCCCTGAATCCACCTACCCTAAATTTTATTAGGTTCTCAATAATAGCATCAGAATCCTCTAAGTAAATGTACTCTTTATTCAAGAGTTTAGACCCAAAACCCCACAGGAAAATCAGCCCACAGCTTCTCTCAATCCCTTTCCTCAACAGCCAATCCTAATCTAGACCATTAATTTCTTACCATCGTAAAAGTGAGAAGAATCACAGAGAAATACATGCAAAGGAAAAGATACTAATTATTTCTGTATTTGTCGCCTGTGGCGCTGTAACGATTTCCCACATACTTTTGTGTCTTAAACTAAAATAAATTTGTTCTCCCATAGTTCTGGAGAAAAAGGCTGCCATGAAGGAGCTGGCAGCGCCGCACTCCCTCCAGTGGCCTCAGGTGAGCACATATTCCCTACCTGCTGCAGTTCCAGAGTTTGTGACCAGATAACAAATCTCTGCCTCCATCTTCACATTGCCTTCTCGTGTGTGTGTGTGTGTGTGTGTGTGTGTGTGTGTGTGTGTGTAATTCCCTCTATCACTCTCTCATAAAGACACTTATGATGGCATTTAGGGCACACCTGGGTAATTGAGGGTTATCTCCCCATCTCATGATTCTTAATCACATCTACAAAGACTCTTTTTCCAAATAAGATAACATTTACAGGTCCCACATATTAGGATCTGGTATCTTTGGGTCAACCGCTTTAGTCTTCTCAGGCTGCCACAAAAAAATATATATATATATATAATAATAACAATCACTGTGAAGCTTACACAACAGAAATGTTTTCTCTGAAGGCTGGAAAGCTGAAGATCAAGGCTCCAAAAGGAGTCTGTTTCTGGTGAGGGTTCCCTTCCAGATGGTCACCTTCTTGCTCTGTCTTCACAGGGTGGAGAGGGGTGGATCTTTGGTGTCTCCTTCTCTTCTCATATGGGCACCAGCCCTATCACATTAGAGACCTATACTTACAACCTTTGTTAAACTTTATTATCTCCTGGATGAGGCAGGGGGAGTTTATGACAAGGCTGACTTTGGACATACTGAGTTTGGGGATGTCTCTGAGGTTTCCCAGAGCTGATGTCAAGGTGATTTAATATGAGTCTAACACTCAAAGGAGCTTGTCGGAAAGGTCTACTCTAGTGATCAAAGTGTGTGAGTCATCCAGAGGATACTGGTCTGCAGCTCCTGGAGCTTACACAATTTGGAAACTCTAATTAAGCACAATAACACAAGAACATAAAATTCAGTACAGAAGTGTACATTTATTTAGAGTTAAAATAAAATCTCAACAAATTACAAGTACTAAAAACTGAAAATACCACTAGCATCACAAGATTCAGAAAAATAACATAACAGTTTGTATGATTTAACTGCCTGATGTAACTCCATAATAGATCTCTCTTCCACATTTTAGGCCATCTACAATTTGATAATCTTTTCTTATGATAATTCTTTTTTATATTTTTCATAAGAAATAGTAATGAAATTCAGACCTTCCTCTAACATGGTTAATTAAAATTGGTTTCATATTATTGATAATTGGTATACATAGAACATGTAACTTCATAGACAGATGTACTTGCCTTCCTACTGCTGCCACAGGTTCATGCCCTACATTCAGGAATTCTGATACATTTACTCTGGCTTATTTTTTTAAAAACAGAAAAATATGTGATGTTTTCATAATGGTATACACTGTGCTATCAAATGTATTTCAGACAGGAAAGAAATCCTTTTTTAACTTTTAAGTTCAGAGGTACATGTGCAGCTTTCTTATGTAGATAAATTCATGTCACAGGGGTTTATTGTACAGATTATTTCATCACTTAGGTATTAAGTCTTGTATCCATTAGTTATTTTTCCCGATCCTCTCCCTCCTCCCACTCTTCATGCTCTGGTAGGCCCCGGTGTCTGCTGTTCCCTTGCAAGTGTCCATGTGTTCTCACAGGAAAGATACTCTATTTTGCCATGGCATCAATGGGAAATTCATCCGTTACTTCAGTTTACACATTTGGTGGATGGAAAAACTTCCCACAAACTAGCTTCTGGCTCCATATATTTTATTTGTTATTTATTTATTTATTTTGAGACTGAGTCTCCCTCTGTTGCCCAGGCAGGAGTGCAGTGACATAATCTCAGCTCACTGCAACTTCCCCATTCTGGGTTCAAGCGATTCGCCTGCATCAGCCTCCCGAGCAGCTGGGATTACAGGTGCCCACCACCACACCCAGTTAATTTTTGTATTTATGTTAGAAATAGGGTTTCACCATATTGGCCAGGCTGGTCTCAAACTCCTGACCTCAGGTGATCCACCCACCTTGGCCTTCCCAAAGTGCTGGGATTACAGGTGTGAGCCACCATGCCCAGCCTGGCTCCCTATATTTTTAAATTTGTGTCTCCTCCACTACCCACTTACACTGAGTGTTAAGTGCCTAGAAAACACACGTAGCCCTACAAGAGCTTCTAGCCTTCACCTTTGTATCACCATCTGCTGGGAGAGGTGGCAAAGTGAGCATTAAGAATATTCTGGAAGTCATTCCTACACCAGTAAAGTGAGCAGTAACTTTACTGTACACAAAGTCACCTAAAACCACATGTGTGTGTTGCACTCGAGACAAACCAAATAAATTCTAGGGCATCCCCTTAGATATGTCCAAAAGCTTCCTGTAGCCACCTACATTTGCAAATTGGGCAAAATTATATGACCCTGTGAATATATGTCCAAAAGTAGATATGTCCCCTAAGATATGTCCAAAAGCTTCCTGTAGCCACCTACATTTGCAAATTGGGCAAGATTATATGACCCTGTGAATATATTGCTATGGCCCCTCCCAGAGCTTTAGAAGGGCTGATGCCAGTGGGTGGGACCCTAATGTTTTATGAGCATCACAGGAAATTCATCTCCCATTTTGGGTGTGTATTAGATACCTCTAGAGCAGGCCTTCTCTTCTGGCACTATTGACATTTGGATTTGGGGTGGATAATTCTTTGCATGAAGGACTGTCTTGTGTATTGTAGGATGTTTAGCATCATCCCTGGCCTCCACCCACTGGATGCCACTAGTACCCCATCCTTACCTCAGTCAAAGGTCTTCGGACATTGCCAGATATCCCCTGAGCACGACACCACTGCTGTTGAAAACTACTGATCTAGAAACAGAGTTCAGAGAGAGAACAACACATTTACTTAGTGAAGGTTTATCGAATGCCTACTATGTTTAAAGCCCTAAGGAAGGTCATTTTGCACTTCATACAAGGAAGGTCACTTTGCAGAAGGTCACAGTGCTGTTAGGAAAGCACACGATAAATAATGAATTTCGGTACAATGCAGTAGGTACCATAACAAAGCTATCCAAGACAAATCCAAGACACAACTCTTTCCTACTTCACAAGGCTATTGTGGGGATCAAAACAACAGAGACTGTAAAGTGTGAGATGACTGCATCTAGACCAAGTTTCTTTATGTTGGTTTGTATAAGCTAAAATGAGAAAATTGCAGGGAATACTCCAATTAGCCACAACAGTCACTATTTGCAAATGTTGGCCAAGAATGACTGAGAAAGCGTGTTAATTATGACAAGGTAGAAAATCCATCTCCTTTTCTCTTTATTCTGACAGCTATTTCTTTCCACCATGGTAGTCACACTTATATTTGAAATCCACAAATACATAGATAGACTCATTCCTAGGAGAGATGGACAATTTCATTCATAGAAGATTGGCCACAAGGGTTCATTCCAGCTAAATGGAACAGAGAAGAGAGAGGTTAAATCAGTGAGAATTCAGCTTGTGAATGGCACTGTATATAATTGAAGAAAAAAAAAACAAAAACTACCCACCTAATTTGACACAAATCATTCCTCCAGAACTCTTGAGACAACCCTGGTATTTTTCTTACCCTATTGTGTTTTCCCCACAATCAATTATTAAACCTATTGACAACAAAATAAAAGAATTCGAGGGTATATTGAAAATCAGGGCCCATTTCACACAGGTGTTGTCTCAAATATCACATGTATTTGTTCACGGAAAGCCTTGGAACAGACAATGTGTTCCCTTTGCTGAGCTGTTTGCGTTTCTGTAAAATTAGTAATTGGAGAGGGAATGCCACTAATTCCCATTTCTCCATTTGAAAAGCTACTGCAGGGTCCTTTATGAAATTGAACACTATGTAACTGTGCTCCACAGAAATGAGTTAACCCATTAGTTCTCCTCTGATTGCATTTAATCACAGGAGCTCCTTCCAAGCATTTTCCTTAAATCTTTTTTCTTTATCATCACTCTTTATTTTGCTGATCTTACCTTAATTTGGCCACTCAGAACTTCTTCTAGAGAGTACTTTGTGGCCCTCACGTGGATTAACTAATCAATTATTACAATAATTTCCACTTATATAGTGCTTGATCATTAAAAACTCATTTTGAAATAGGCGAGGGGTGGCTTAACATTGTGGTGTTAAAGCAGTGATTCCTCCAAATGTATTAGTAATAAAATGTGTGCTGGGGCACTGCACCCAGGATTGCAGGCCGTTGCTGTTAAGAGTAAGGTTAAATTACTTAAATTTTTAAAAATCAGAAAAATAATAATGCAGGTATCTCATGGATATAGCAAAAATCAATGAAGAAGGCGTGGAATAAGTGATATTTCAGAGATCCTAGCTAAGAGGATGGGCTTCAGGGCTGAGACAGCCTAGACTGAGATATGTCTTTCTCACCTACCAGGGCTCATGTTATCTTTGACAAGTTACTGATCTTTAAACCACAGGTTATCATCTTTGAGTGGGGTTAATCCCACTTACAGTGTTGTCGTGAGATTAAGCCAGATCATCCATTTACAGTCGGTCCAACCTTATGCCTGATATATAAACATGCAGGACATTTCAGGATAAGGAAAAGAAGCGATTACTCTGCCATACGCTATCACTGTACACATGCACACATACACACACAGGCATGCACGCTTCATGCATAAACAAACTGAACAAAGAGGCCAACTTTATAAAATGTGGTTATTTTACTCATCAATTGGCTAGTTATTAATTGGGAAAAAACTTGACTCAATTCAGTCAAAAGAGATCCATATCATTAATTAGTTAGTTAGTTAACTGATTAGGTGTTTATGTAACTGGCTAATTAGTTACTTAGTGTAAGGCTTGTTTCTGTGAGTTCTCTGGTTCAGGATCTAAAATCCTCAACATTATTGATGTTTGGGGCCAGCTAATTCTCTGTCATGGGCCTTTCCTGAGCATTGTAGGATGTTTAGCAGCAACTCTGACCTCAACACACCTAGTGCCAGTAGCACCCTCCTTCCCTAGTTTCGACAACAAAAAATGTGTCCAAACGTTGCCATGAGTCCTCTGGGTTGAGAATCACTACTTGGGTCCAACATGCCAAACGTTTATACTAACAGTCATGTAATTTTCTCCCATCTGCTAATTATTTTTAAATCTCATTTCCCTCCAACCCTGAATTTAATGACCAAACTGAGTATGAAATTTTGAGCCTAGCTAATAATTTTTTAAAATAGAATTGCCAGTTGTTCCTCATTATAATTGTTATTTTAAAATTACTACCTTGATTTCAAAATATTTGGCCTGGGAGGGGTCCCAATTGTGCTGACAATTGAAAAATTATAAATTAGTCTCTGCCATCAAATCTCTTATGCTTTAGTTTGGGAAATGATACACAAAACTGAAAAATTTTTAATGGGGGTAATCAGTAGAGAATGTAATTCTCCAGAATTCTGCACGTCTATGTGAAGGAGGTTGTGGTGAATTCTAGTAGTGTCTACAAAAACATTAGTAGTAGAAACTAGCCCACACCAGTTTAGGGTGCACACACACTCGGGAGTAGGGTTTCCAGGGTTTAAAGAGTATTAGGCCAGGGACAGAATGGAAAACAGAGCAGCAGGATGGTGAGGGTAATGGGACGTCCAGGGTGAGAGACAGCGACATTTTGGGGAAAATGACTTTTAGGAATATTTGGGTATGGCACACCGTGTCATTTTGGCTGCCAGATTAGCTCCCTCAGGGAAATCTGCAATAAAGATTTTCATAATCCCTCAAGGTTTGTAGTCACATTTATGCTCTGTTTTGTTTTGACTTGATCTGTGAATGGTGATCAGGGCCGCAGGGCCTCCCTGTTATATCGGGGTCACAGCAGAATCTAGAATTCTAAGATCCGTAACAGTGGGGACCTGTAGTGGATTTACCATGAAGCTAATGAAGCTTAGGTTTCAGAACCCCTCATTTGGAAGACCTCCTCCCTGGCCCTGAATCTAACTGCATGTATGTAATTTAATGTTCTTTTCCTAAAGAGGACCCCCCAAGTAAAGGTCTAAGTTGCCTTGAAGTTTGGCTCTTCCCTTAGTGAATACCAAGTCTCTTTGGTTCTCCTCTGTATCCTCAGAATCTCCCACAGTGCCTGGAACATAATAGACACAAAATTATGTTTGCTGAGTGACTGAGTGATCAAATCAATGAATAAAGAAAGGCAATAGTGATTTAACCACTTCAGGAAAGCATGGGAGGCCATAATGAACTAGAGGCCATAATTTATTACCTACTGATTTAGATCAACAGTAAAAGTCATTGAAGTTCGAAAGAGAGAGTGATCACTCCAGGTGTGATGAAATGGAAAGACATTACAAGCCAATCGTAGATTCAGAGTTTAATGACAACACGATGAGCCACGGCAGCTGGCAAAACCACTGACTCAGAGCTTGGATTCTGAGCTTGAACTCCAACTCCATTGCTTACCAGATGGAAACCACCCAGTTACTCTCTCCAAAATGAGGGCAGACATGGCACCCTCAGCACAGGACACTGGTGGGATTAGAGAGATGCCACCTGCAGAGCATGCAATGTGGAGCCAAGCACATTGTAGGCACCAGTAAACGTTAGCTAATATTATTACTGGGTGGTATCTCTGTGCCACATATTGTGCTAAATGCTTTCCAAGCCTTAGAAAGAAAAGTGTCCATAAGTAATGGAGAAAAGTCAATATTTATTGAGCATCACTGTAATTCATCAGTGTTCAAGGTACTTCACTATGTTCCCCATTTAATAGTCACTGCAACTCAGTAAGTTTGGTGTTATTATTTCAGTTTTCTAAGTGTAAACTCGAACTGAGAGAAGTTACATGCAAAGATATTAAGTGAGAGAGCAGAGATGAACCACAGACTATTGGATGTCAACACCAATATTTCTATTGATTGGCTTGTTTTGATTCCATCTTGAGGGCTAAGAACTCAGGTGTAAGAGTTCAAATCTTGAGTCAGCCCTTCTTTGGCCTCTGCAACGTATTTGAGTTGCAGTTGCAGTTTCTGTATCTGCGGAACAAAGAAGACAACAGCACTTATAGGGCCATAGAGAGGATTAAATGAGATGACACATGTGAACGACCTGACTCAGGGTCTGGTACATGATACATGTTCAATGCATCTTGAGGTTACTATTGGCCAAAATTACAGACAAGTAGAAAGTTCTATATTGACTCACCTTCAAACCCCAACTTAATGAGTGTGATGTCTTCAAGGAGTGCCCTAAGAAAAACGTATATATTTCAAATTCAAATTATGCCCACCCAATTAACTGAAAATGTCTGCTTCCATCACACATTAGCATGATTTACTGAGAACATTCTCATGGAGAAATTGGGAAAAGTAAGAGAAGTGGATCTCAGGAAAGAAGTGAATTTCATGAAGGTTAGAGGGAGATGCAATTCCCGTGCCACAGAGTCACGTGACCCTAGATCTCTGAGGAGAAAATTGTGGTTTTTGGCATAGGCAGTTCAGGATCATGTGGAGGACAGGGAGCTCTCTGGGATAGCAACAGTGACCTCTAAGATGGCAGCCAAATCTTTGGTTTTAAAAGTTATTAATCTTCACATGAAATTCCTAGTCAGTGGCAGGGGGAATATTAGTATTATTTAATTTCATTCAAATTACACTACAGAAAAACAATTAAGGTGAATAATTATGAAAGTGAGGTCAACTCAATTTTCTATAATAATGTTTTTTTGTTCCCAGGCTCATTATTGCTAATTCCTTTCATAATCTTTGCCATCTAACCTCATTTGTTTCATTTATAAGTGGCAAGAAACGCACATCACAAAACAGCAATGAAATCAAGACAGCAGCATGTCACTTTG